TGTTGTGCACACTTGCTTTCCCTTTCTCTGACGTGCTGCAGTGTGAGCAATATGGGCTTTCGCCCTTTTCTACGTTTTTACGCGATCTGCAGGCCTTTTTTGCGGTGGCACCGCCTTATTAGATTTGGGTAGCATGACCCGATCCAATCGGTCTAGCTTTTGGTGGACCGTTTGAAGAGTATTATTGAACCTCTCCAGGTAACTCATAATGGCTGGTCAAGCCGCGAGCTTGAAGGAATATCCCCCGTGATATTCTGCTGGACTAGTGACATTTCAGGAGAAGTGTCCTCCTGGATCTGGGGGATTTCTTCATTGTCATGATTGGTTCGTTCAGATTCGAAACCGCGAGCCATTTGCTGTTGTGGGACCGATTAGTCAGAGATTTTTCTAATAAATAGTAGGTACTAAATAAGGGCTCTCCGTCTAGCGCCAAACTGTTAATGCTAGATTTTGACACCAACTACTTGCACGTGTAAAATGCTAAAATAACTTAGAAGTCACATGTGATATGAGGGGATTGAATCAAATAAAAGGTGAAGAGCAATATTTAAAGTGGTACGGATGCTCTAAAGCGAATCCTACGTCCACTGCTATTGTATTAATAAGAGAGAGTGATCAGGTCACGTTCAGCGAGTTGAGTTACAGTTTAGAGAGAGAGAGAGAGCGCTATTTCAGCATAAAATCAGCTAATCCCCTCAAATGAGAGGGAAGTCCTCTATTGATAGTGGGAAAGTTCAAGGTAATGATTATGAAAGTTGCAAGTGGGTAGATGCCGTACAAATCCTTTCTTTGTGTCCCATTAATCACCTGCCCGAGGGATTTCCTCGATTAAAGCAGGGTTTTGACACGTGGGCAATCTCCAGCCGTCTGTTAGCCTGGCACTCACCTGCTGCACTGGCAGAAGCCATGCCACTTGAGCTAGGCGCGACGTGGCCACACCTGGACGATGCAGAATCCTTTTGAACTCTGACTATCCTTTACTGACGAGGCTCTATATCAGTCCTACTTTTTCCGACATAACAACTACCAACTTAGTTTTGTGATAGTATATATCTAACTCACCTGCCACTTGTTTCTCTGTGTGTGCTCCAAGTATCCATGGCAGTTAATTGGGTTAACGCTGGTAATGCTTCGCCTGTACCTTCACCATTACCAACAAACTTCATTAATTTTTGGAGGCTTCCATTAATTTAAGCCATCCCTTTGATTGCCTCATAAATAGCTACTATAAGGTTTGTAATTCTTCCGCTTCTTCCAAAATTGATGACATCCTCTCTGATTCTCAAGTATTTAATATACGAACTCTCAACAAATCCTCGTACTCTTTTACTTATGCTGCTCAAAAATTGAAAAGAGGAGTGTATGTGTACGGCTGCACCATAAACCACTTATATTATAGGTTGAGGGCGGGTCAAGTCCAGGGAAATGGACCCAGTTAGGCCTGATGAAAGGTATTAATATGATTGGAAATGATTTTTAGCCTCATTAAGTTTCCCATTTTTTAATACATTTTTGTTTGGATAAATTTAACCTTAATAACATAACAATTTCGAAATAAATTCATTCTTTATTTTATTTTAATTTTTAACCTTTAATTTTGATGTAAACCTTAAATCTAAATTTTCTAAATCATTTAAACATTTTTTTATTTTAAATAATTTTTTATTTGATGAAAATATATTAATAAAGCTATGAAAAGAATAATCAAACAATGGAATGAATTTAAATCTGAAGGAAAAAAAAGTGTAAGTTTCAAATTTGAAATTGGGAAAAAGGGTATAAACCAAAAACCTAATTAAGAAATTGAGGAAAAGTTGTGTAAACAAAAACCCTAATTGAATTTGAAGTTAGGGGAGAATTGGTGCACATAAAAAACTCTAATTAAACAGGATTATTTCAATATTAAATTGGGTTTAAAGAACTTTTTTTAAAATGTAATAAATCTGTATTTAGCAATGAGAGATACTGATCAATTTGATGGGGCCTAAAATTCACTTCCTACTTCCTAGTATGACCTTTAACTTGATCATAGTGGATAGAATTAGGTTGGCCGATGTGGGGTTGGGCATAGCCCATCATCATGTTTATTGGTTTTTTCTTAGTGTATTTATTCATCATGATTAATTCACCTATTAGTAAAGCGTAAAGATGGCCAACAAACACTTCTAATTAACTTTTCTCACCAACGCGACATAATAATTTGTAATTGCTTAGCTCGTATCTGATCAGGCGAAACTCATTACAAACTGATCGATTGCGAGCTGATACGTCGCGTTTATAAGAGAAAGTTAATGAAAAGTGTTTATCGCTTAGTATTACTCATTAATAAATTGTCATTTGTTAAAGTTTTTGGGTTTGAGTTATTTCCACCGAAAAAAATGTCCATTCCTAGTTTCAAATTGGCTGTGGAGTTAGTTCTACTTTGTCATAGATGTTTGACCCATCTTCGGAGTGTGTGCTCCAATGGGCGTTGGGTGTGGTACTTAACTTAGTATTTACACAACCGCTTACACTAATGGAGTTCGTAATTTTGAATTTTGAATTTTATTTTTGTTAACAAGTGCTATGAGAGGGGTATTTGTAAGTTTTTAAGGGTTTTTTTTCCATGTTAAAACTTTTAGAGGGTAATTGTAATTGTACAGGGTATCTGAAACCAGAACCGTTGTTACAGGTTCTAGTATTGGGTATCTATTACCCAAGAATGAAACTATCGATTCCGGTTCCGATTCCAAATTTTAAGGAACAGTCAATTCTGATTCCTTAAAAAAATATAGGATACCCGAAACCAAATACTTCTAGCGTTGGGTGTGGTACTTAAGTTAGTATTTAAACTTAGATCATATGCCCTTTCTTCTTGTTTTGAACTTTTATATTGAGTTGTGTAATTAATTCTATACTTAGACCGTGCGAGATGTATAGAAGATCTCATAAGATAGGTGCCGCATTTAGATTATCATGTCTAGAGTATATATGATCTAAATTATCTCCCTTTGATTTATGCTCATCACCACCAACTTAGTTTTGTGATAGCATATATCTAACTCACCTGCCACTTGTTTCTTTGTGTGTGCTCCAAGTATCCATGGCAGTTAATTTAGTTAACACTGGTAATCCTTCGCCTGTACCTTCACCATTATCAACAAACTTCATTAATTTTTGGAGGCTTCCATTAATTTAAGCCATTCCCTTTGATTGCCTCATAAATATCTACCATAAGGTTTGTAATTCTTCCGCTTCTTCCAAAACTGATGACATCCTCTTTGATACTCAAATATTTAATATACGAACCCTCAGTAAATTCCTAACATTCTTCTGGATCGATGCAGGCTATATTAATTCTTGAATATCTTTGTCTTGTGATGAATCAAACAAGCATCATTTACTAATTTCCAGTAGCACCGAGAAATATCTTAATGTGACAAGACAGAAACGAACATGTTAATTTAATAACCATAGCACCAAACTAATTAAGAATCATTGAAGAACAGAGATCGAAACAGATATCACCATATTTACTGATATACCAAAGAAAGTAAATAAATTTTAGCCATTTTTATGCATCTCTCTGGGCTCTGCTTTTTAATAGCTACCCAGAAACAGAGCAGACAGTAATTACATTTACAGTTCTGTCTGGCTGAGATATATATGCCACGTTAAATGCGTCAAGGTCAACTATTTACTTTGCATTGCATTGCATGCTTATAATATTTTACTGCGAGTTAAGAAAACCAGAAAGACAGCTGAGCTGAGCTGGTAGCAGCCAAAAAAAAAAAAAAAAGCGTTAAACTTGTGGTCGGATCTAACCCGACCCACTTTACAATACAAAGATGAAAGATTCTGGTAACCAGCCGGTATTCGGCGCATCCGTACCCGCCGCCTGAATAGGCCTGTGGTTGCAGGCCACGCCTTAACTCTTTATGTCAAACGCAACTGGCACATTGTCTCTGCTTTATGTAAACATACTCCCAAAATATAATAAAACTATTACTTACCCACCTTTCTCTTCAATTCATCAATTAATATCTGGTATAATGGACTGAGTTTGTTTCTATAATTAGATGATCATCTTCTTCCTCTGCAATCCAGCTGCATTACGCAATGGTTCGCAGAACGATACAATTATATACATCACAATTACTAACTGGAGTTCCTTGTATTGCCAAATTCTTCGTTGGGTTGTAATCAAGATCGCTTCTTCATAATACTAATCAAACTCTGTTAATAAGTATGGGGATTCTCCAATCCCCAAAACAAACACTTAAAATATCTCCCATTTTCTTCCATAGAAAATTTTAAGGTTTGCAGAAATTAAAACATTAACTTGAGCAAAGTTTCTAGTTTCACCATGACTTTGACCATGAGAAAAGTAGCCTTGAAATTGTCATGGGCATGAAGATGAAGGTGAAGGTAAAGAGAAAGGCGTTGAATTTGCAAATCTCCGAGGACTTTTGAGATTATAATCATTGTTAAAAACTTCATGTTTATCGTTGAGGAAGTAAACAATTATATTATAATTAAAAAAGGGTGGACATGCGCGTAAGAGTCACGTCATATATATAGAAATCTTAATCCCAAGAACCGACAAGGAGGACGGGGACAGCCGTCTCTAAATCCCCGTCAGCCTTCGCCTGAAAAAGCCTGCTGCCATGTTCCAGGTTTTAGTTTTATATTATAAACCCTAATTTAATTCTTTTTATCTACATTAATAACTAGTAATAATTGTACCTCTATTTACTCTCTTAGAGTAGACAAAGTTTATATAGCCGCCTTCTAAAACTGACACCTTGGCTTCTACTAAAGCTCACTCTAAGTATACATGCAGTGTCTTGTATCTCCACTCTCCAGACAACAATCCTTTTAAAGCAAAATCCAAAAAATCTTCTAAGCACGCGCTGCGACAACAACAGACAAACTTCTTTTAATTACCATTATACCATCCTCTTCGCAATCCCTATATAAACAACCCCACCAAACTTCACTTTCCAAAACACACACAGCTCACTTACTCATTTACACATCTTCACTTCCTTTTAAGATCAAATTTTAGTCGAATTATCTTGTGTTCTACTGTTCTTTTGAGAAAAATGCAGTACCAGACAGCCGATTCATGGGGTTTCTACGTGCCAATGAGGAGCAGGAACATGGAGGATCCACTGGAGAGAGTTGCGAAGCTGGCTTCAGAGAGTGCAGTGGTGATTTTTACTTTGAGTGGTTGTTGCATGTGCCACGCTGTGAAGAGGTTGTTTTGCGGAATGGGGGTGAACCCGACTGTGTACGAGCTGGATCATGATCCCAGAGGGAAGGAGATTGAGAGAGCATTAATGAGGTTGCTTGGAAGTTCTTCTGCAGTTCCTGCTGTGTTCATTGGTGGCAAACTGATTGGCTCCATGGACCGAGTCATGGCTTCCCATATTAATGGCAGTTTAGTCCCACTTCTCAAGGAAGCTGGAGCTCTTTGGCTTTGAGTTTTGACAAATAATAAATAACAACATCAGTCTAATTTTAATGCAGATTATAAAGGAGGAAGGAGAGTGTCTGTTTTTCATGATCTACATGTTTTAGATTAATTTACCTTCTTTTTTTTTTTTTTTCTTTTTTTTCTACTGAAAGTCGAATGTAAAATGAGAGCTGAGAATGAGCAAGGCTTAATTATATAAACTAATGCAATCAAATTAAATCAATGTATGTTAAACTTGGATCATTACTGGGTTTCTTTACAAGTTAGTAGAGTTTCTCGTTGATGAGTGAGTTCACCATTGATAGAGCCTTAGAGCTCGGACAGAAGGAGTCAAATAATTAATAACAACATCAGTCTAAGGAGTCAAATAATTAATAACAACATCAGTCTAATTTTAATGCAGATTATAAAGGAGGAAGAAGAGTGTCTGTTTTTCATGATCTCCATGTCTTAGATTAATTTACCCTTTTTTTTTTCTAATGAAAGTCTAATGTAAAATGAGAGCTGAGAATGAGCAAGGCTTAATCATATAAACTAATGCAATCAAATTAAATCAATGTATGTTAAACTTGGATCATTACTGGGTTTCTTTACAAGTTAGTCGTGTTTCTTGTTGATGAGTGAGTTCACTTGTGATAGAGTTTGACTCTTCACCCACGTTCTTGTTAAATGAGAGAATTATCCTCTCTTATAAATCAATAGGTCTGAGTGTGCTTCGTCGGTGTGGGACTTTAACTCTCCCTCTTATGATCAAGCCCATATACTACGTTCTGTTAATGGAGGTAGTTGTTGGCTCTAACTCTTCACCCATTAGTCAAGTACTCAGCTCAATTGAGTTTAACTCTGATATTATGATAGATTTGAGGTGGGTCTAACTCCTAATAAGACATGCTTATTGGGTGAGAAGTCAACCTAAATTGAATTCTATCAACAGAGCCTTCGAGCTCAGACTGAAGGAGTCAAATAATTAATAACAGCATCAGTCTAATTTTAATGCAGATTATAAGGGAGGAAGGAGAGTGTCTGTTTTTCATAATCTCCATGTCTTAGATTAATTTACCCTTTTTTTTTTTCTAATGAAAGTCGAATGTAAAATGAGAGCTGAGAATGAGCAAGGCTTAATCATATAAACTAATGCAGTCAAATTAAATCAATGTATGTTAAACTTGGATCATTTAAGGGTTTCTTTACAAGTTAGTCGTGTTTCTTGTTGATGAGTGAGTTCACGATTGATAGAGCTTGACTGTTCACCCAATAAAGTATTGTTGAATGGGAGAATTATCACCTCTTATAAACCAGTAGGCTTGAATGTGTTTAGTCAGTGTGTGACTCTAACTCTCCCTCTCATGGTCAAAGCCCATATATTAGGTCCTGTTGATGGAGGAAGCTCTTGCCTCTAAACCAGTAAGTTTGAGTATGCCTAGTCAGTGTGAAACTCTAACTCTTCCTTTCATGGTCAAGCTCATATGTTGGGTCCTGTTGATGGAGGTAGTTGCTAGCTCTAATTCCTTACCCGCTAATTAAATACTTCGCTCATTATAGTTTAATTATGATACTATAATAGAATTTGAGGTGAGTCTGATTTAAACTAATGCGGTCAAATTAAATCAATGTATGCTAAACTTGGATCATTACTGGGTTTCTTTACAAGTTAGTAGTGTTTCTCGTTGATGATGAGTGAGTGATTTAAACTTATGCAGTCAAATTAAATCAATGTATGCTAAACTTGGATCATTACTGGGTTTCTTTACAAGTTAGTAGTGTTTCTCGTTGATGATGAGTGAGTTCACCATTGATAGAGCCTTAGAGCTCGGACAGAAGGAGTCAAACTTACTCCAGTTAATAAGCCACGTATACAGATGTGATGACACGATGGAACTGACCCACATGATATCCAGCAAGGGAATGCCACGTAATATAGGAATGAGTAGAATGATTGGAATGGGGAGTGAAAAGAGGAGTATAGAATCAGAAACATGCATGCGCCAAGCTAAGTTAATTAAATTTTGTTTCATTCATTATGTTGAAATGACTTTGCATTAAGGATTTTTTTTAACTGGTATAACATCACGCCATGTAAGCATGAGGTAAGTATTCTTCTTCTTCCTCGTGTTATGAAACCAAAAACCAAAAAAAGTGGGAATGGGAGTTGAATATTGTAAACATGATGATATTAAACTTCACTTCCGAGAAATCATAAATCATAATGTTGCGAAAGGTCTTTCTTGGAAGATAAACGCCAAAACAGCGACAAAACATTATGATTTTGCTTGCCTTTTAATATACCTTCCTATAAACTTTTTCATAATCAGTCTTGACGATATGCTAGCGTCAAAATAGCTTATTCAATTATCCACTAGGGTTTTTTTTTTTTTTTTTAAACAATCATCTTTGATTTTATGCTTCCTACATCTGTTACTAGTAAATTAACGTTTTACAAGAAACTAGTCGGGCCTCCAAAAAAAGATAAAATGGTCTGGCAACCGCCAAGTTCCTTTGACAGCTCCTATACAACCTCGACGATTTAATTTGTTTCTTTGGTCCTGTAACAGAGGCGAAAGCTGCATGATGACAGTGTTTCTTCTTGGCGCTTGGACTTTGTAGGACCATTGTATAAGATCTTAGATCTCCAATGGAATCGCTTACCAACTGCAGAAGAAGAGAACTCCTCCAGGAAATGGAGGAGAATTATCTGGCCATAATAAAACAAAAGTGACGCCGGATTGGTGTTTTGAAACTTGTTCTACAGCTAAACCGAGATAGTCCTCACCAATGTGAGTGATAAGGAGCCCAGAGCAACCCATGGCCATCATTATTACAACGATTACTACATGCCTGGTAATTTGTTCCTATGATTCCCACATGGGCCACCACACTCTACAAGGTGTGCGCCTAAGCGAGGGTAATCCGGTTTCGGACACCACACTGGTTTGATCCGGGTGTTTTCAAGGATCCAACCCCCACCAACAGGGTGAACAAAACAAAACAAATCTGTAGCATATCTAACTGGGTCCCTAACAAGTCTTGCTTTGTTTCGTAAATAAATTTCTACCTACATCATAAAATCTCACTGTTATTCAGTTTCATCTTACAGGATATCGAGTATATATGCATTTGTTTTGTGGCTCTCGTTTTTGTTCTACAAATGGAATACAAGTTCAGAACAAAGTGAAACGATGCAGAATATCGAAATATTCCAATCTTTCTCTCCCATTAACATCCGTGTTGTTTCAGTTTTGAACTTCTCTTGTATTTTTTACTCCAAATCAATCTCCACCACTTTCAATCTGCTAACAGTTGCTACCACCTCTTTCTCTCTGTCCCCTCGCAAATTCCAAAGGCTTTTTCACATGTCTTTGTTTGTAGTGATTATAATGCACTTCACCTATCTGATTACAGTTGGTCCTAACACCAACTACTACGGTTCCATTTTATGCATTTTCTCAGCTAAATATTAATGCTTAATATGCTTTTCATACACTACTACTACACCATCTATAATTCTCAATATTATTGATGCTTTTCAAAGCTTCTTCAAACTTCTCCTGTCGGATCATATCTTCTTTGTTCTTCTTGCTATCTGTTATTCATCCCTTTCTGCATCACGTAAACCCAAACCCACTCTCGGATCACTGTTGTGGGAGCTGTTTTTTTGATACATGTTCAACAATTCTTTCTCTAAACCAGCTACTTTTGGCCGGTGACAAACTCTTAGAACCACTGATTTTTCAACTTTTTAGTTTTTTTTTTTTTTATGAAGTTAACAATGAATTTTCATGTTTTACTATACTATCAGGAGTGGATGTTCATATACAATGCAATTCAAGGCAAATTCCCCGAAGACCATGGAGCATTGCCTTCTCGGTGAACAGAACGACGGATAATATGGAGTTTATAACTTGAAATACCCATGTGGATGGTGTTGACTGTGTGGATGGTATGGCAATAGAATCATTGTGCCAAGCAAACTTAATAGGAAGCTCATCTTCAGCATGCAATGTTCCAGGTTCAGTATGGCGCAAAGAAATATCAGTCAAATCAAAACAAGATAGTCCCTGTATAACAGCTTAAAAGCTCTGAGTTACAACCATTCAAAAGAATGTTAGTTTGTGTGGAAATAACAAAGAGGGATTGCAAAGGCAGACTTCTTTTAACTCTTCAAAGTTCTTCCTCCCTTATTACTTACCTTTTCAACTAACTCCTTTATTCCAGGGCCACCATCTTTGCCTTTCCCCATTTCCACAGCCCCACCTATTTTTTCACCACCACATTCAATCTAGGAGATCCAAAATCTTGGATTCCTAAACCTCCTCCACCTGCGTTTAATCCTGGAGATCCAAAACTTGATTCCTAATATTCCTACACTATCTCCTCCTCCTCCACTGCATTTATCTTGGAGATCCAAAACTTGGATTCTATATTCCTACACTATCTCCTCCACCTCCACCTGCATTTACTCTTGGAGATCCAAGAACTTGGATTCCTAATATCCTATACATCTCCTCCACCACGGCCTGCATTTAATCTAAGGGACCCCAGGACTTGATACCTACATTCCACCTCTCCTGGCAACCCTCAAAGCCGAAACCTTAGTAGGGGTTTATATTGTTATATTTTTACTCCAGTAATCTAAACAAAGATTATGTTTTTATCATGTTATTATTTGATCATTATATTGCTTTTTTTGTGTGCTTGAAAACAGATTGAAATAGAATATAATTAGAGGTTCTAGAATTTTTAATTAAAAAAAAAACAGCGATATTTTCATTTAACTTTATAGCTGTGCTGGTATTTACCGGGTAAAATCAGTTTCTTACATATCAGTCCTTTTATCTTTTCGTAAAAGCTACTTGCTATCATGGAGTTCCCCTCCTTTTTCAAGCCACTTCACCTGACAAGTAGATCATTTATGGTACTCGATGCTTCCTACAGCAGATGACATTCAAATAAAGTTAGAAAAGAACAGCTCATTAATGTTATGCAAATTCAATGGAATTTTTTTATCTACCCTAACTTTTCCCTCAATCTATCCTCCTCTGCATCTCGTCGCCCCCTTTCCTCTTGAATCA